AACCCTCTGCCCCCTCTCCTTCCCAGCCCCAAACTCCGGCCATTCGCGCGCGCCACAACAGCCACGAATCACAAACCACAACCACGACCGATCAAACGACGACAACCACCTCAGCTCCCGCTCCTGCTCCTGCTCCCGCTACCCCCCACACACCCCTCTCTCTCTCTCCACAGACACACACACACGTGCAGATCCAATGGAGGTGCTGAGACTGGCAGCACTTGCTGCTGCCGCTGTCGTGTGGGTCCTGGTCTTTGCCCAGACTGTGGTCTTTGTCGAGCGGGCTGTCGGAGAGCCCGCTGCTGTCGCTGCCGAAGACTGGCCGCTCTCGCTTGTCCCGGCCTGGATTGTTCTGGTAATGACCGGCGCTGCCACGGGGGCGGCTTCCTGGTGGTGGATTCGAGCCGCCCGCGCTGCGCCCAAGCCCGCGGTTCCGCTGCCTGGAGAGCCCGATCCGCAGCCGGCTGGCCTGCTTGCCCCGCGCCTGCCGCTCGCCTACGTCGCTGCTGCTCTCGCCATCAACGACTGGCTCTGGCTGGCTGTTTCGACGGGCCTGCTCGTGCCTATGCTCGACGCCCGTGCCGGTATGACCTGGGCTCGTGTCGCCGCCCCGCAGTTTGTCGGCGCCCTGCTCGCCGCCGGCCTCGCTATTCTCTGCCTACAGCCGTTTGCCTACGTCCTCCCAGTCAAGCTCCTCTGGCTAGTCATCGTCGCCATGCTCGTCGCTCGTGCTGACGATGTCAACACCTGGCCATACGAGGCCGTCTTTGCCCCCATCTGGATCACTCTTATCCTCGCAACAGCACTTGTTGCCTACGCCGTCTTCCGCCTCCGCCGCGCTGCCGCCGCAGGCTCAGACGCCGCCACGCCCGAGTACGTCCCATCGGACGCTGACACTGCTGCAGGCGCGGGCCCACTCTCTCCGGGCAAGGTCGTTTTTAGCCCAGCCCGGCCACAGCACTCGTCGTCGTCGCTCGGTGACTACGAGTACGAGTACGACGAGGAGCAGGCGCCCGGCCCGTCGCCGCCTGCCTCCTCGGCCGCTAATTCCGCTCCTGCTGTCGCTGCCACGCCCCGCCAGCTCCCAACCTCTGCTGCAGATCCCGACTACCAGTACGAGTACGAGTATGAGGTGAGTGAGGGCGTCGAGGAGCAGGAAGAGCAGGAGGAGCTGGCCGCCGCAGCGCTTGCACATCCCTCGCCGCCTGTCCTTGACCCTGTTGGTGTTGGTCTTGTCCTCGGCGTCTTTGCGGCAACCCTCATTGCCTGGACCCTGTTCCTTGTCCTCATTGCTGGCTGGCTCGACAACTCGTTCACGGTTAGCGGCGGTGCCAAGGGGGCCACCGTTCCGCTCTTCCTGTGGGAGCTGGCTATGGCTGCGCTCTGCGCCGGCCTCTTTGTCGAGCAGCTGCTGGCCGACGCCGGTGACCGCGACTCGCTTGCTGATCGGGCCTGGTGGGCAGTGCTTGCCCTGGTGGCACAGCTCCCGCTCCTCAGCACGGCTGCCACGGCCCGCTCTGCATCCGGCAGCGGCACTGCGCGTGCTGCCGGCTCGGGCGGTGCCGCGCACGCAGACACGATCCGCAAGCTCTCAGAGCAGGAGGCTGTCCTCCGCGACCACCTCGTCAACGGCACGGTCGGGACGGCAGAGCGCAAGAAGGCTGAGGCCCAGTTGCAGGAGCTGGCGGCGCGAAAGGCGGCGCTGAACGAAAACCCGTATGCTGCAAGCCAACCACATGCGGCTCTCCACGAGGAGCCGTTCTTTGTCGAGCTTGTTCGCGAGAAGATGCGGCTCCAGCGCGAGCTTGTCGGCTTCCGTCTCGCCTTCCAGGCCCAGTACGGGCGTGACCTTGAGTCGCTCGCCGATCGCGCGCCAGTCGAGTCCTCGTACCAACGCTATCAGACCACCAAGCAGGCCATCCGCGTCCTCGAACGCGAGTTTGCCAAGTTCCGTGACGGCGAGCCCAACAAGTACGAAGAGATCCGGCTCCTCTATGGCGCTGCACCATAAAAGCTTCAATGCCGCAAGTGCTTTTGTTTCAGGCATTCCCAACTGTTGATCCGGACTACTGCACCAACTCTGCAAGCTTTTACCACGTCTGCAGCTGGTGGCTCGCTTGTAGCGATGGCCCGGCCCCCACCTGCTCGAACATGTGCGGTTTAGAACTACTGTGTGTAGTTTTCGATGAGAGTCCGCAAGACGTCCTGCTGGTAGGTGGCCATGGCAAAGAGGGTGTCCGAGTTGGAGTCCTTTTGCCGAATGACATTGGGTGCAAAGACCATGGCCAGGTTGTCGGCCTCCATCTTTGTCACCGCCGCCACCTCGGGCGCAGCCATGCGCTGGAGGAAGAGGATGAGGTGCTCGAGAACGGCGGCGTTGCCAGGCGGGAACTGGTCGATGAGCGCCCGCAGTTCGGGGTACGACGTCCGAGCCTTGATGCACGCGTCGTAAAACTCGATGGGCACTACCGGCGAGGCCATGTCGCGGAACCAGAGCTTGAGCAGACCGGCAGCGACATTGGGATCGCGACCGGGGATCTCGTAGTTGTACTGCGAGAGGCCGTCCTTGATCCGGGCCAGAAGCTGGACGTCGGCCGGAATACGGAAGATACCCTCGGTCTTGAACCCGTTCTTGGCCTCGATGGCTTCGGTAAGGGCGACGATGACCCGCGGAACCGTGGCGTTGCTGTCCTTTGACAGCTCAAACACCATCATGTCCTCGAGCATGCCGCCAAAGAGCGACGGGCGCAGCGGCTCCTTGATCATGCGCTCGATGTCAGACTCCTCGGGTGCCTCCGACACCGGGTTGCAGTAGTACAGTCGCCGGAAGCAGTACGAGGCGTAGAGCTTCAGCGTCGGTACCGAGAGCGAGTCCATTTGCTGAAGGCAGTACGCCTGCAGCGGGCCGGTCATCTGCGGCGACGGCCGCAGGATCTGCACCGCGAGCGCAAAGAGCTCCCAGCCAGACATGGCCGAAGTCTTGACCGGGTTATTGTTGGTGGCCCGGATGCAGTAGACAAACATCTCGTTGGCCAGGTCCGCGTCACCAAAGCAGCCGGCCACAAACTTGGTGAGCGTGACCAGCGGCGGCGTCTTGGTCTTGACGTCGCCAATGTACTGCTGCACATACTTGTACTGGTTGAGCGCGACCTTGCGGCACTGCTTCGGCAGCATGCACACTGTGTCGGCGAGCTTGCCCTTGGAGTAAGCCAACATTTCGGCCACTGGGTTGTTCGTCTTGGGCTTTTTGAGCTCGCGGAAGAACTTCTTGCCAAACTTGATCATCGAGTGCCGCTCCACCTCGGATCGGACTTGCGGCGTGAGGTGGAAGCCGCGGATGCCCGACGTCGACGCCGCCCGCTCGCGCGACTTCATCCGCTGCGGCACCGCCGTCAGCGGGTCGCCGTCGAGCGCACCCGACGAGTTGCTGCGCCCGAGCGGGGACGCAGACGGAGAAGTCGACGTCGACGGCATGGAGAGCGTTGGCAGGGCAAGGTTTCCGCCCGAGCCCTCGGTTTTGAGCGCCGGAGGGCCTCCAGACGCGGGTGGGGCGCCACCTGCAGACTCGGGTGCCTCGGGCGCCTCGGGCATGTCCCAGGTTGTCTCGCCCGACGCGTTGTTGACAAAGTAGTGCCGCTTGTACGACTCGTCGTAGTGGGCAGTCCAGCCCGGCGCGAGCAGCGACAAGTCAGCATCTTTGGCCTTCTTCTTCTTCTTCTTCTTCTTAGCCTTCTCCTTGTCCTTCTCCTTCTCCTTGGCCTGCGCAGCCGCAGCCGCGACATCACCTGCGTCGGCAGTCACCGCCCGCTTGGTTCCGTCTGACTTGATTGCATTGCTCAGGGCCTTGTTGAGCGCAGGCGGCGCTGCAGAGGCTGTGCGCGTCGGCGGCGGCGGCGGTGCACCCCCAGACCCAGCGCAGGCGGCGGGCGGCGGCGGCGCCGGGAGCCCACCAGACTTGCCACCTGCGGCGGGCGGCGGCGGAGGCGGAAGCCCGCCAGACTTGCCACCTGCGGCAGGCGGCGGCGGCGGCGGAAGTCCACCAGACTTGCCACCTGCGGCAGGCGGCGGCGGCGGCGGAAGCCCACCAGACTTGCCACCTGCGGCGGACGGCGGCGGCGGCGGAGGCTGCTTGGGCTGGGCAGGCGGCGGCGGCTGGGCCGGCTGCGTAGGAGGAGGCAGTGGTGCTGTCTTGGGCTGGCCGGGAATCGGCAGCGGTGGTGCTGTCTTGGGCTGGCCGGGAATCGGCGGCGGTGGTGCTGTCTTGGGCTGGCCGGGAATCGGCGGTGGCGGCTGCGGAGGCGCCGGCTGCCCAGGGATCGGCGGCGGAGGCTGCGGAGGCGCCGGCTGCCCAGGGATCGGCGGCGGAGGCTGCGGAGGCGCCGGCTGCCCAGGGATCGGCGGCGGAGGCTGCGGAGGCGCCGGCTGCCCAGGGATCGGCGGCGGAGGCTGCGGAGGCGCCGGCTGCCCAGGGATCGGCGGCGGAGGCTGCGGAGGCGCCGGCTGCCCAGGGATCGGCGGCGGAGGCTGCGGAGACAATGCGGCCGGCGGCGGAGGTGGCGGCGCAGACTTGGCCCCACCTGAGGCCGGCGGCGGAGGTGGAGGCGCAGACTTGGCCCCACTTGAGGCCGGCGGCGGCGGTGGCGGCGCAGCGTTCTTGGACGAAGTGTGCTCCGCCGGCGGAGCCTTCTTGACAATGATCTTCACGTTGTCTGTCGGCTTTGTCCACTCGACAGCTTCTGTTGCCGTGTTGTAGTAGTAGACTCTGTTGTGGGAGTCGTCCCACAGCTGCCAGTACACCGTGGCGCTCTTCTCAGGTGTGGCAAAGCCAGGCGGCGGCGTCCACGATGTCTCCTTGGTGATCGGATTGGCGTAGTACGTCCGCCCGTTAGCATCCTTGGTCGCCACCCATCCTGAACTACACCCACTCCATCCATCCACACACACATACACACACAATGAGTATACTCCTTGCCCGCCGCCCCCCCCCCCTCCCCCCTCTCCTCCCTCCCCTTAGTTCCTTCTCCATTTCCCCGCCAATGACCGCAGGTGCATGTTCGTCCGAAATGGCTCATGCCGCCAAGCCACCGCTCCCCTTCCTCACCCACCCCCTACCCCTACCCTTACCCCACCCCCCCACCCCTGCATCCAACCACCCCTACACCCTGCACCTCCTCCCAAACCCCCCTCTCCACCCTCCCCACTCCCACTCCCCTTTCCCCGTCACGGAATATGTATCATCCCCCCTCCCCCCCCCCTCCTCCGGCTCCCCGCAGGGAACCCTTTTTTTCCGTTGGCCACCCCCACCCCACCACCCCCACACACCCACCGCCACAGCCACAGCCACACTCACCATACCCTCTCCCCAGCCCCCCATCCACAGCCAGTGCCATAACCACTTCACAAGTCACTCTCTCTCTCTCTCTCACACACACACACACACACCTGCATGCATTACATACCTCATGGCGTCTAGGACGGAGAGACGTGCCCCTTGGCGATGCTGGTGTCGGTGCCGGTGGCGGTGCTGCTGTCTAGTTCCTCCCTGACTGCCCCCCCCCCCCCCGCCCCCGCCCCCCAACCTCCTCCGCTCCTCCCGCTTGCCGCGTCTTCTGCCATAAAAATGTTGCCGCTGTCAAACGGGTGTCACCGGGGTAAACACCCACCCTCTCCCCCTCTCTCTCCAACACACACGTACAACTCATTATCGCACATGCCTATGGCTAGGATAGACAGCATACATGGCAAGGCTTCATAAAGAGTAGGTGAGAGCCTATGGTGGGTCCTGGATTGAGTGCCAAAGCCGAGAGTGTCACGAGGCTTGCGTGGCTGTGGTTTGCAGTCGATGATCACAAGATCTACATTAGTCTTTTCGTTTCTGTGACAAAAACACACACTCTCAGGATGTAAAGCCCAATCACCTCTTGCTCATCACCTAGTGTCAGGCTATGTTCATGTTTCGGACACACACTGCAAACTATATGATCTATTGCAACTCAATCAAAGGCCACGATGGAGAAAACGTCGATGCCGTCGCCCTCAAGCTTGGCCCGCCCGCCGAGGGCGGGCAAATCGGAGATAAAAGCAGTGCCGACAACGTCAGCGCCAAGCTCCCTGACGAGGGCAACAGAGGCGGCCATGGTGCCGCCGGTGGCGAGGAGATCGTCGACGAGGACGACGCGCATGCCGGGCGTGATCGAGTCGACGTGGCATTCGAGCGAGGCCGAGCCATACTCGAGCGAGTAGTCGCGAGAGATGGTCTCGCGCGGAAGCTTGCCCTTCTTGCGAAGCACAATGAGACCAACGCCGAGTTGGCGGGCGAGGGTGGCACCCCAGATGAAGCCACGAGCCTCGCAGCCGACGACAGCGTCGAGCTGCGCCCCGCGAGCGGCGTAGTATGCCGCAATGATGTCGGTGGTCAGATCGAGGCCCTCTGGATGCTCGACAAGCGTGGTGATGTCACGGAAGACGATGCCTGGCTTGGGAAAGTCCGGCACGGCCTTGATCATCGACACCACCTTGGCCTTGGCCACCTTATCGACGTTGCCTTCGGCGTCGACCAGCGGCGGCTCGCCCGCGGCGGGAACAGTCTGCTTCGACGACGATGCCATCAAGGCCTGGCATGGGCCGTGGTAGTACATGTGATGGAGCGGGGTGACGGCGTTGGACGAGCCAGCTGCATGCGAGGCGAGGCTGGGATGGCTGTGCGCCATACCGAAGACCGGGGGCATGGGCGGCAGACCGAGGACCGAGGGCATGGGCATGGCGCCGTGTCCTCCTGCCGACGGATGCTGCGGAGGCCACGCACCGTGGTAAAAGTACGGGTTCATAGTGCTTCAAAGAAGAGAGTGACTTGTGCGCCACTGCGACTGTGTCTACTACTGCGACGTAGCCGCCACTAACCCCTGTCGTCCGTGTCATGCATCGTGTCGGGGAGAGGGGGAATGGAGGAAGAATGGAGGGGGAGAAGGGGGGTGCTTCTCAGACGTCCCCCCCTCCCCCCCCCATCCCCTCCAGTCCTTCTCCCCTACCGTCACACCGACCTTTGATCCCCCCTTTCCCTTTTATACCTTCTACCCCCCTACCCCCCCCTCCCCCGTCCCCTCCCGTCCCTGCCCCCCCCCCCCCCCCCACCCCGACCAACCAAAATCGATCGATCACACACTCGTCCACCATGATCAAGACCTTCCTGTTTCTGGCTGTTCTGCTGAGTGTGGCACTCGCGCAGTGCCCCTCCACAAACGATATCTGTGCATGCATCTCCACCACAAACTGTGGCTTCTGCGGTATGCTCCTCCCCTCCCTCTTCCCCTTCCCCGCTCCCTCTCTTTCTCGCCTTCCACATTCCAA